AAACTCAGCAACAGAAGCCTGACATGAATGTTGCGCAATGCGCCAAAGATTCGAAAGGCTTTAGGAAAATCGCCAGGTTTGGTTGTTATCCACTAATTGGGGCAAATGGTTTGAGCAAGAATCACCCTGGAGACCTCCAAGCAATGCCTTCAAATGTAAGGAATACAGGAAACACCAATACACTTTTGCAACTTGGTTTCAACTTGATTGCACCCCGCCTCTACCAAATCATGGAAATTCAAGAAGGATGAACCCATCTGCGAGCTCATGGGTCCTTACTTTTCTTGCTATCCTTTTTGGTGCGTTCCACCTCTTGTCTGCTTGGTGGCCCAACTTGAAAGTGATGAACAAGTGATGCAGGTCTGAAGATTTTTTAAAAAAAAAACATGAAAAAATACTTTACTTCGTGTGATCCCCACCATGACATTTATACATGTTCTTACTGGCACATCTTATGGCATTCTATCTGACATATTTTCTGACATTCTATTTGGCATTCTATCTGGCATATCTTCTGGCATATGTTCTGGCACATCTTCTGGCATATCTTCTGGCATTCTATCTGGCAAATCTTCTGGCATTCTATCTGGCATATCTTCTGGCATTCTATCTGACATATCTTCAGGCATTCTATCTGGCATTCTATCTGGCATATCTTCTGGCATATATTCTGACATATCTTCTGGCAAATCTTCTGGCATTCTATCTGCCATTCTATCTGACATATCTTCTGGCATTCTATCTGGCATATCTTCTGGCATTCTATCTGGCAAATCTTCTGGCAAATCTTCTGGCATTCTATCTGGCATTCTATCTGGCATATCTTCTGGCATATTATCTGGCAAATCTTCTGGGATTCTATCTGGTATATCTTCTGGCATTCTATCTGGCATATCCTCTGGCATTCTATCTGGCATATCTCATGGCATTTTATCTGAGGTGATAAAAAAAAAACGTATAAATTTGCTTATGCCGCTTTCACCTTATCGTTTTTCCTTCCTTATCGTTTTGCAGGCTATCTGCACTTATCACAATCAAAGAGGTTTATGCACATGCGGCCGCCATCCAAAAAATCATTCGTTCAGCTTCCATTGACCTCGGGCATTCATACCTTTGCTGCAAAAACGCTTCTTGGAGCAAACTCACCGTAGCCACATGTAGCCACAACGTGTTTAGAAGAGGACCTTTTTAATGTCTTTAGGTTGGCTGGTTGGTTCAGTCGCTTTGGCTAGCTGGCTGGCTAGCTGAGTTTGTTGTGGTGGCTGGCTGGTGATCAATGGCAAGGTGATCAATGGGCCATGGTGTTTGAAGATGGCTTTCGGGTTAATTTTGTTGTCGTTTTTGTTATCGTTTTGTTATCGTTTTGTTATCGTTTTGTGTCACGTAAATTCTCCCCATTTGTGGGACACACATGCATGTATATATATATATATGTATATATATATAATACTTAGCGTTATCGTTTTTGTTCTTCCTTATCGTTTTACGGTGAATGGACTATACCCGGTACAAAAAGGCAACCTGCAATACTAAATCTAATTGACGGGGGTTTTTTAATTTCCTCATCTGGCATATCTTCTGACATTCTATCTGGCATATCTTCTGACATTCTTTCTGGCATATCTTCTGACATTCTGTCTGGCATATCTTCTGACATTCTTTCTGACATTCTTTCTGGCATTCTATCTGGCATATCTTCTGACATTCTATCTGACATCTTTTCTGACATTCTTCCCGTTGAGGTCCGGCAGTGCCCACTGCGATCTGGAAGTCGCGGTTGAGGTCCGGCAGTGCCCACTGCGATCTGGAAGTCGCGGTTGAGGTCCGGCAGTGCCCACTGGGATCTGGAGCTCGCGGTTGAGGTCCGGCAGTGCCCACTGGGATCTGGAGCTCGCGGTTGAGGTCCGGCAGTGCCCACTGCGACCTGGAAGCCGCGGTTGAGGCCCGGCAGCGCCCACTGCGATCTGCAACTCGCGGTTGAGGTCCGGCAGTGCCCACTGGGATCTGGAGCTCGCGGTGGAGGTCCGGCTGTGCGCGCTGGGATCTGGACTGCGAGGAGGAGGCGGCGGGTGAGGAGTCGGAGGAGGCGGAGGTGGAGGCGGAGGAGGCGGAGGAGAACAGCTCTGATAAAATCTAACAACCCTCACCTGGCAGGTGGGGAAAAAAAACAAGATGCACCCCACAAACCCGAATGCAGTCACAAAGAACACTATTGTGAAACAAGTTATTTCAACAGTCTACATTTTTCCCCTGTTACCGTACCATTGCACTGTAGACTGTGGAATGCGGAAGAGGGTGGAGTGCACAGTGTAGAGTGTAAAGTGTGGAGTGTGGAGTGTACAATGCAAAGTGTGGAGTGTAAAGTGTGGAGTGTGGAGTGTAAAGTGTAGAGTGTGAACTGTAGAGTGTAAAGTGCAGAGTGTAAAGTGTAGAGTGTGGAGTGTGGAGTGTACAGTGTGGAGTGTGGAGTGTAGAGTGCTGAGTGAGGAATGTAAAGTGTAGAGTGTGGAGTGTAAAATGTAAAGTATAGAGTGTAACGTGTAGAGTGTGGAGTGCACAGTGTAGAGTGTAAAGTGTAGAGTGTATAGTGTAGAGTGTGGAGTGTAGAGTGTGGAGTGAGGAGTGTAAAGTGCAAAGTGTGGAGTGTAGAGTGTAAAGTATAAAGTGTAGAGTGTAAAGTGTGGAGTGTAAAAGTGTAGAGTGTGGAGTGTAGAGTGTAAAGTGTAAAGTGTGGAGTGTAGAGTGTAAAGTGTAGAGTGTAAAGTGTGGAATGTAAAGTGTAGAGTGTGGAGTGTAAAGTGTAGAGTGTGGAGTGTGGAGTGTAAAGTAAGGCGTGCGGAGTGTAAAGTAAGGAGTGTGGAGTGTGTAAAGTGTAGTGTGTGGTGGAGTGTGGTGGAGTGTGGTGGAGTGTGGCGGAGTGTGGTGGAGTGCGGTGGAGTGTGGAGTGCGGGGTGTAAAGTAAGGAGTGTGGAGTGTAAAGTGTGGAGTGTGCAGTGGGTAAACTGTAGAGTGTGGAGTGTGGGGTGTAGAGTGTGGAGTGTAAAGTGTGGAGTGTAGTGAAGCCTCGAGAATAAAGTGTAGAGCTGTAAAGTGTGGAGTGTAGAGTGTGGAGTGTGTGTAAAGTGTAGAGTGTGAAGCCTGGAGAATAAAGTGTAGAGCGTGTAAAGTGTGGAGTGTAGAGTGTGGAGTGTGGAGTGTAGAGTGTGGAGTGTAGAGTGTGGAGTGTGGAGTGTAAAGTGTGGAGTGTGGAGCGTGTAGAGTGTGGAGTGTAGAGTGTGGAGTGAGGGGTGTAATGTGTGGAGTGATGAGTGCACAGTGTAGAGTGTAAACTGTAAAGTGTGGAGTGTAGAGTGTCAAGTGTAAGGTGTGGAATTTAAAGTGTGGAGTGTAAAGTGTGGAATGAGGAGTGTAAAGTGTGGAGTGTCAAGTGTAGAGTGTGGAGTGCGGAGTGTAAAGTGTGGAGTGTAAAGTGTGGGGTGCGGGGTGTAGACTGTAAAGTGCGGAGTGTAAAGTGGAGAGAGAAAGAGAGGAGACCTCAACCACCTTTCGGTCCATCAGTGGATTCGCTCTGCCATCCGTGATTCACAACAACCAACCTATCCTATAGGTTTCCTATTTTTGAAACTTCCGCCACCGCCTTGTGCGGTACTACTGGTATATATATATACACACATATTGTATTTATGTACATATATATCGCAAAACCCAGTGGGGTACATATCATTTCCGTACTATCCATCATACTTTCCTGATGTTTTGTGCGCACTTCAAAACTCCGTGTTTCGCGATGCTTGATGCTTCAACAGCTGCAGCTGATGGACAAAATTCATTGCCTAGAGTGGAGCCATTGGAAACAACGTGAAACAGCACAGAAATGGATGAACACTTAAAAACATGTACAGTAAAAAGATCATTCTGACGACTCAATAACAATTTCTGGTGGTAGCTCCCCTGTTTTCAGGCGAACACATCTGCGCCACAGCTTCCAGGTGTCGTTGGCAAGTGCGTGCTAAATGGTCTTCTGCCCCTAAAATCGCACATGCATGTAAGCTAATATGTACCAATACCACATCATTCCTTCATATTCCCCATTGTCTGAGAATGCAATGTATATCTTTATTTAGTGATTTTCCCCCACATTTTCAGACACAGCGATATGGGTCGAAACCAGTGGAATCCCTCGCTGAACACCAAACAACCCTGCAAACGATTCTTTTCCTATGCTCCGGCGGCGGCCTCGAGGCGATCTATCTCCTCGATAGCCGGCTTCATCCATGAGTCGGCCGCGGAGATTGGGGGAACTAGAAACAGACAAGTGTATATATACTGTTGATACAGGATACCAGTAGTACCGCACAAGGCGGCGGCGGAAGTTTCAAAAATAGGAAACCTATAGGAGAGAGTGGTTGGTGTGAATCACGGATGGCAGAGGGAAGCCACTGATGGACCGAAATGTGATTGAGGTCTCCTCTCTTTCTCTCTCTTTCTCTCTCTTTCTCTCTCTCTTTCTCTCTTTTCTCTCTTTTTCTCTCTGTTTCTCTCTCTTTCTCTGATTATCTACCTACCTACCTACTGATCTATCTATCTATCTATCTATCTATCTATCTCTCTCTCTCTCTCTCTGTCTGTCTGTCTGTCTGTCTGTCTGTCTATCGATCTACCTGTCTATCTGCAAGCTTGAAAACGAAGCTATTCTGCGAGACTTCTTCATTTTGCAAAGTTGACAACATCAAAAATGCAGCAATTCTGCGAGACTTCCTCAATGTTTGAACTTGACAACATCAAAAACGAAGCAACTCTGCGAGACTTGCTCATTTTTCGAAGTAGACAACATCAAAAACGAAGCAATTCTGCGAAACTTCTTCAATTTTTGAATTGGACAACATCCAAAACGAACAATTCAGCGAGACTTCTTCAGGTTGCGAATTTGACAACATCAAAAACAGATGAACTCTGCGAGGCATCCTTCAAAAATGGAAACTTGAGTGTGGAGCTGACAGCCTCGTACCAATGCGTTTTGCGATTTTTCCAGTCCACCTGTCTGCGCCTGCTACGAAAAAGTGCTGCCAAGTCATACGAAGTGCTGCACCTGTCACGCAAAATCATCTCAGCAAAGATGAAGATCCGATGCTCCAAAATGCAACCCGTCTCAGGAAATCAGCGCCCTGACCTCCTAACATCTCTGATGAACATGACTTTTGTACTGCGCCCGCCACGCGAAATGCCTCTTTGAAGATCCTCTTCAAATGTCCCACGCCTGCCATTGCTTTTGGAAATGCCACAAAACCCTCACGTTTTGCTCACTCTTGACAAGGTGCACAATCCCTTGCGCCTGCCACGCGAAAGCACATCTGAATGTCCAAAAGTGCTCCGTACCCGTCAGTTTTTTGCACTTTTGACTTCGAAATGTGCTTCGCGCCACAACGGCGTGCACTTTTTCGACATCTCAACTACTAAAAGTGGTCCGAAGCTGGTGTGCTTTGTACATTTTTACGTGAAAATGTGCTTCGCGCCACAACGGCGTGCAATTTTTCGTCTCTCATCTGGCCAGATGGCTCCGCACCCGCCGCTTTAGCGAGCCTACTTTTCGACCCTCCAGAGCCACAAATCATTGGAAAAACACAGTGTCTCGCGACTTTCCTACCTTTTCGCGCACCTGCATCTTCTTTCTTCTGACGCTTTCTCTTCTCTGATCTTCTCTCTTCTACTCTTCTCTTCTCTCTGACCCTTTCCATCTCTGCTTTTCGTCTGTCCATATTGTCGGAAGTTTCACTTCTAAACTTCCTTCGACAAGTTTTGTGTTTTTTGACCCCACAAGTTTTTGTGCGCAATAGGGTACCAGCCGAACAATTACATTATTGAGGATCTCGGTCACTCAAGGGGTACCCCCTTGAAAAATTGTTTGGGTGCTGTTTTTTGAATAAAGGTTTCATACAGCATCCAATTATTTGGGAAGCCTTGCGTTTTGCAGGCTTTAACATGGATATGGTTTTCTAAAGCAAATGGACCAGCTTTACACAAAGAAAGGTGGATAAAGGTGGATAAAGCTCCTGAAAAAAAAATGGACCTGAGAAATTTTTCTGACAAAAGAGGACCACCCTCACAACTGGCAGGATATTGATTTATTTAGAAAAAAACTCACACTAGGGTACCCGACCACTAATCGGCATCCAACATTAAGAACCCCTCAGTGTAGCCATACTGTTTGGGGAAAAATGCCAAAGGCGCATTGAAGGATCAGATTGAAAATTCGGAAACTGGGGTTCCACCAATGTGTTGCTTGTTTCCGCCCGACAATTTTCACCCATGTGGCTACATGAGAAACTTCTTGATACAGTAAAATGCAAATTGGCCAAAATAGGATCGAAAAGTATCAAAAAGGACGCCAGATTCCCACACCTCCCAATCCCGTGCGACAAGGCTCGCCAGCTTAAGCTGCTTTCCAACAGCTCGGACCTCTTCTTCGGTCCCTTTGCACTCTGCTGCCGCCAGGTGCAGGCGAAGAGGTGCTGCACTGTCCAGGATGTGTTGCCGCACAGTGCTGCCGCCAGGCGCAGGCGAAGAGGCGCGGGCTTCCAACGGGATGTGTCATGAGTCATGAGTTTCAATACCAATCCAGAACTTAGGAACGGGATGTGTCCAAGATCTTCCAGCGATCTGGCTTGTCCTATCCAGTGGAGCTGTCATTTGCGCGTGTGGGGAAACATGAGACGTATCCGTGGGTCAAACCTTTAATCCGAGTTCTTGAGAGTTATTGGAGTTGTGTCCACCAACTTAGCTCCAATGCGGGGCCCAATTGTATGTTGGTTTATAACCCCCTATGAATGCTATAGTTATCAGTGGAATCAACCATAGTTATTGGAGTTATGTTCACCAACTGAACGCTATCGTTTAGAGGCCAAACATTGTAACGAACTGGTTCTTTCTTCACAGCAACTTGACAACCCTGTAAGCGATCTTTTTTCTATGCTCTGGCGCCGGCTTCGAGGCGATCTATCTCCTCGATAGCCGGCTTCATCCCTGAGTCGGCCGCAGAGATCCGGGCTTCCCGCTGGGCACCTCCAGACGGCTCAGCTAGGAAGCCCGGCTCAGCCGCATCCTGGACAGTGCAACGCCTCTTCGACAGCGCTTGGGGCGGCAACAGCAGAACCTTTGCTGACCAAGGATGGCAATCGAGGACAGCAGTTGCAACTTGTGGTATGTGACAAGATACGTAGATGATCCAACTTGTTCACAAGTCATGCAGTGTTGCGGGGAGTGAACAGTATCGGTTTTCATCTGGATGAGATTCCCATAGCATTCGGGCTCCGAACAAAGGTGCGGGGCGCTGCCGAGGTACAGGGCGCTGAGGTGCAGGGTGAAACTCAGCAACAGAAGCCTGACATGAATGTTGCGCAATGCGCCAAATATTCGAAAGGCTTTAGGAAAATCGCCAGGTTTGGTTGTTATCCACTAATTGGGGCAAATGGGTTGAGCAAGAATCACCCTGGAGACCTCCAAGCAATGCCTTCAAATGTAAGGAATATAGGAAGCACCAATACATTTTTGCAACTTGGTTTCAACTTGATTGCACCCCGCCTCTACCAAATCATGGAAATTCAAGAAGGATGAACCAATCTGCGAGCTCATGGGTCCTTACTTTTCTTGCTATCCTTTTTGGTGCGTTCCACCTCTTGTATGCTTGGTGGCCCAACTTGAAAGTGATGTACAAGTGATGCAGGTTTGAAGATAAAATGTGGAGTGTAAAGTGTGGAGTGTGGAGTGTAAAGTAAGGCGTGCGGAGTGTAAAGTAAGGAGTGTGGAGTGTGTAAAGTGGTGGAGTGTGGTGGAGTGTGGTGGAGTGTGGTGGAGTGTGGTGGAGTGTGGTGGAGTGTGGTGGAGTGTGGTGGAGTGTGGTGGAGTGTGGTGGAGTGTGGGGTGTAAAGTAAGGAGTGTGGAGTGTGCAGTGGGTAAACTGTAGTGTGGGGTGTAGAGTGTGGAGTGTAAAGTGTGGAGTGTAAAGTGTGGAGTGTAGAGTGTGAAGCGTGGAGAGTAAAGTGTAGAGCGTGTAAAGCGTAGAGTGTGGAGTGTAGAGTGTAGAGTGTGGAGTGTGGAGTGTGGAGTGTAAAGTGTAAATTGTGAAGTGTGAAGTGTAGAGTGTGGAGTGTAGAAGTGTGTAAAGTGTAGAGTGTGGAGTGTGGAGTGTAGAGTGTGGAGCGTGGAGTGTAGAGTGTGGAGTGTGGAGTGTGAAGTGTGGAGTGTGGAGCGTGTAGAGTGTGGAGTGTAGAGTGTGGAGTGTGGAGTGAGGAGTGTAATGCGTGGAGTGAGGAGTGTACAGTGTAGAGTGTAAAGTGTAAAGTGTGGAGTGTAGAGTGTAAAGTGTAAAGTGGGTTCGTGTACCTGCCACGAACCAAAGTGCTGGTGTACACGTGCAAAGTGCTGCGCCTGCCATGAAAACTGCAACTCATCTTGTGAAAACGTCGCAAAAGTATTGCGCCTGCCACACGAAACGACTTTCGACACGTTATCACGGACACAATGTTTTTTGGGCTAACTAGTGAGAATGTGAAAGTCCGTAACTCGGAGTTTTCTCTACGAAACTTCCTTTGATGAGTAGAAAGAAGTGGCACGCTTGCCACACCAAACGAAGGTGGATGTACCCAAGTGCCACGCCTGCCACGTGAAACGTAGGTGGATGTCGCCAAGTGCCACGCCTGCCACGCAAAGTGCCGCGGCGTCACGGGCCACTAGTTAACACAAGCGTGCCACCAGACCCAGCCCAGTGCCAGAAGTGCCACGCCTGCCACACCAAACGAAGGTGGATGTCGCCAAGTGCCATGCCTGCCACGCAAAGTGCCGCGGCCTCACGGGCGACTAACGGCGACCAAGCGCGCCACCAGACCCAGCCCAGTGCCAGAAGCGCCACGCCTGCCACACCAAACGAAGGTGGATGTCGCCAAGTGCCATGCCTGCCACGCAAAGTGCCGCGGCGTCACGGGCGACTAACGGCGACCAAGCGCTCCACCATGCTAGCCCAGTGCCAGAAGCGCCACGCCTGCCATGCAAAACGAAGGTGGATGTTGCCAAGTGCCACGCTGGCCACGCCAAACGAAGGTGGTTGTCGCCAAGCGCCACGCCTGCCACGTGAAACGAAGGTGGACGTCGCCAAGTTCCACGGCTGCCACGCAAAGTGCCGCGGCGTCTAACGGCAACCAAGCGCGCCACCAGACCCAGCCCAGTGCCAGAAGTGCCACGCCTGCCACGCCAAACGAAGGTGGATGTCGCCAAGCGCCACCCCTGCCACGCGAAACGAAGGTGGATGTGTGTGAAAGATGGTGTGTGACAAAGTTGTGTGTGAAAGAGTGCGTGACAAAGTTGTGTGTGAAAGATGGTGTGTGACAAAGTTGTGCGTGAAAGAGAATGTATGACAAAGTTGTGTGTGTGAAAGATGGTGTGTGAAAGATGGTGTGTGTGACCAAGTTGTGTGTGAAAGATGGTGTGTGACAAAGTTGTGTGTGAAAGAGGGTGTGTGTGTGTGTGACAAAGTTGTGGGAGACGGCGGCGCGGGAGGCGGGGCGAAGGCAGGGCGGGATACAGAATCAAAAACAAGGTTCCAAACAGGCTTGCACATGTGCATGCACTTAGCCAGCAAAATGTCGGGCTCCAAGTGGCAAAAACTTGGGTTGGAGCCTGCCCGCCCAAATAATGACTTTGAGCCATGCATTGTTGATGGATCACCATATGTATGTGCAAGTGTATGTTGCGCGCTTTATGCTGGGCGGCCACACTGCCTCTGTGAGATCGGCCCAGTCGACCACGCCAGCCCTTGGCAGCGAGAAAACATGGTCTTTGGGCAGAGAGGATTGCTCTTGTGATAAGTTATATAGTTATATAGGCATTCCTCCAAATCTAGCGAACCTTCGATCACCAATGTTTGAACGTTCGAATCGCCGAACCAATTCTGATCACGGATTGCGCTTTGGATTGCGGATAGTGGGAGAGGATTAAACCCAAGATGCAGACTAGCCACCATACAGATTGGGACGAACGCCACAAAAACTGCTCTGGTTCCGCGAGATGAAAACATCTGGTAGCCAAGGAACACTCTTGTTCCAGAGCCAGCCGGAGTTTAAACAGGTCTCTTTTGTCCTGCCATGCGAGTTTCAAATGGGCATGCCAAACCCACTTCTTTACAGCTACCGAAGGTGAAAATGAAAGAACCATGCAACCCACGCGCACAAGAATTCTTCGCACTAGGTCACTAATCACTATAGGCACGAAACAAATTCAGACTGACATCTGCTGACTATGGACCTCAGATTGCAAAAAAAGCTTCCACCTCCAAGCTGTCTTGGTACCTTTTGATCCTCTCAAGAGCCGTCGCCATTGCGTTAGGCAAGCCGGTTGATGATGCCGGTTGATGTTTGCCAAGCCTACAGCTCCATGGGCCTCCCGGAAGTAACACGTCTTGTGGAGCAGTTCGACCAACTTGAACCAGAGAACATTTAAAGCAATATCCCATTTCATTGTGCTGATCGCTTGATAGAAATTTCATGAGATTACCATTGCGGCTTGTAACAAGCAGTATTCCACCAGGTGGTTTAGCGCTAAAAATATAAACAATGGAGGTGTCAGGCTCAATGATGCTAACCACTGGCTGTTTTCTCGCCTATTGTTTGCATTCACTATGCTCTTCCTTATTTCTTCCCTATTTTCCCCTGTTTTCTCCTCTATGTTTGTCGTTTTCCGCCCTATTCCCTCGCGTATTTTTCTGTTCTTGCCCCTTTTCACCAACACTTTTTTCCCTTGTTTCCTCCCCTGCATTTTTCCGCGTTGTCTATTTTATTTTCTCCTTGGGCAGGCCCAAGAATATGGCAAGTGCTATGGCTATGGCTTAAGATTCGCCCTTTGACTTGCACAAATGCAAGCTTGCCAATCTTGTGGTTCTGTTAGGCCCCGGTCTTCAACCTTCTAATGCATGTCGTTCAGCAGGGGTCAATAGCGACCAAAATATAATCAATCCATCGGGAATTTATCATGAGTAGATTTTCAATTCAGGCTGGAAAACCTGTCGCTCATACATGATTCCCCTATCAAACATATATAGGTGAGTTTCATGGGACATTGCCCGTTTCAAACATGGAAGGTCCATGTTTTAAGCCGCGTTAAAAAAAACAAAAAAGTTATTGAACATGATCATCGACAGACTTGGTGTTCTCACAAAAGGCTCCTGCCGGGGCCGAAGGCCCCCCGATTCTCAATGAAACGATCCAATGCATCTGGATCGCTTTGGGCCCAACTTCAGCCCAACATGACCAATTGGCGCCAACTTGGGCTCCAGTTGGGTCCAAGATAGTGCACCAGTTGGGTCCAAGATAGTGCACCAGTTGGGTCCAAGATAGTGCAACTTGAGCTGGGCCAAGTTCGGCCTTTGCGGGCAGCGCGGGCCAAGTTGGGCCCAACCCGAGCCAATTTTGCGGACTCAACGCGACACGCTGAAAACTTGCGTTCTTTTAACTGCTATTTTCAACGGGTTCATGCGAGGCCATGTTGCCCACATTGGGCCTGTCTCCGGCCCAACTTCAGCGCTAGATGCCCCCACACAGGACCAAGTTGCGCATGCCAAGTTGCGCCATGTTGGACCCCATGCAGTTGGGCTCAAGTTCGGGCTAAGCTGGAGCTAACTGGCCTGAGTTCGGCGCAAGTTAAGTTGGGCCCAAGTGGGCTCCTGCTCGGCCCAACTTAAGGCCAAGGACGGCCAAGTTTGACCCCAGTCGTTGTTTGAGCCAAGTATGCCCGCTTCTTTCCTCTCTGTCCTATTCTTTGGGTACGGGCGGTTCTCGTCGCGAAGCGACTCAAATATTCTCCCCTACTTTATTCTGTATGTTCACCCCGTTTGCCTTTCTACCTTCTATCTAATCTATTCATTCCTCTCTTTTCTTCTCTGTGTTCTACCCTGTTTTCTTCCCTGTTATGCTTCATATGTTCTCCTCTATTTTCTTCCCATGTTCTTACCATGCTCTTCTTTCTGTTCTTCCCTATTTTCTCCCCTATGTGTTTCTTCTTTACGCCCTGTTTTTCTTCCATTTTGTAACGTGTTTTCTTCCCATGCACTTCTTTATGTTCTTTTCTTGTTTCTTCCCTTTGCATCGAAGTTGGCTGGGATTCTGGAATTGATGTGTAAATAGCTGCGACCCTGATGGTTCAACAATTGTTCCTTTTTCCAAAAATGGAATATACCACAAATCACACATGGTTTGTCAAGATATTCCCGATTAAAAGATCTATGTTTGGGAATCCCCGGTGTCTCAAACAAACCCAGTGTACACCAACCCCCCTTTCATGGTGCTCATCAAACACGTTTAAGCTGTGGCACGATGGCCCTGGTGCTTGGGTAGTGTCGAAGTCCAGATCTCTTTGCGAAGGAGCGGGGCAGTATTTCGCCAGAAACTCATTCCTTGGGGCACCCGTCACGAAATGCTCAGGTTCAACATGCTTCAAGATGCTTCAAGTAGCGCACAGATTCTTCAAAGGTTTAATTACCGGCAAAAACATCAAACTACGGTGGGATCAACAGTAGGGGCAGGTGAGCATCGGAATGGTACGCCACAAAAATTGCCGCCGAGTCTCAGCCTCATCTTGCCAGTCTTCACATCTTGTCTGATGCCTCACCAAAGCAATCGACATCGGGAATCAGCTCACAGCTTTGACTCGTGCGATCCTTGCCAAAATCTGCTCAATATCAGTTCGAAAAAATATTTGAACCCTTTAACCCTTGATATTTTATAACCAATAAGTTGGATGATAACTTGGGATCCCCCTGAATTAGTCTGAAAATATGGTACCCCCAATTGCCCAGAAACCCAGTGGAAAGGCATGAAGAAGGCATGAAGTGTCGAGTTAGGCCCACCTGGATCTCCCTTCAACTTGGCCGGTGCTGGCGGCTCTTGCTCCTGGAAAATGAGAAGCAAAAAAAACGTGGGACCCGCAAAGACTTTGCATGAATGATGTCAAACATACAAACCAATATGAAGGAGACCAACATAAATCAGTAGAAACCAATAATCCAATAGAAACCCACATAAGCCATTATAAACCCATATAAACTAATATATCAAACAGCATTCAAAGAGACCGATAGAACCCTGATCAACTCAATGGTGCCTTGTCACGAATCCATGCAGGTACGGTCTGATGGATTCCTGGCTTCACAGATCGGTCTCGGACTTGATCAACATTTGGGGGGTTCCATAGTCATCAAGGTACCCAAGAAATCCAAGAATGGATGGTTGATGGAAAATCCGATGAATTGGATGAAATAAAGAGGTATCCCCATGGAAACCTCCATTGGCATCATACTTATTAGATACTACAACAGTAGTTCGGTTTCAAACTCGAACTTGTGCCGCTGCCATGGTACCGCGACTTCGTCCCCGATCGACATCCAAGCTGGAGGGACCTGCAGGAAAGTCGGATGTTTATGGAATTTTACCCAAACCCAAAGTTGTTGGGTTCTCCTGTAGGTCTTTGCTTTAAAGCCAATTCTATGATATTCTATGTGGATCTGTGCATAGATCTTTCATACATCTGCCTAAACCACGATGGTTCACATCATGTCATTTGGGATGGTTTTCTATATTGACCATCATTTGAAGTGACGTCAAAGTCAGGTTGTTACAACTTATTCAGATACATCTATTATACATGATTGTACATTATTTGCAGCCGGTATGTTTCAGATTCATATAGATGAATGTATATGTACAACATTAATAGATTTGCACTGGTCATGCGCTTGCAGGATATATATGCTTTCGCTTGTTGGGACTCGGGCAGTCTTGTGATGTGATCCTGATGGTGTTGCACCCTGTGGCCGTATGGTTCCCAGATCATTCCCGTGGTCTGAAAATGGACCCCTACCCACATCATCACTGGTTGGCGGATTCAACCCGCATGAAAAGAACACAAATCGTCATCGAGAATCATCCTAACCAAATATAATTCAACATGTTGAAGAATGTTGAAGAATGTTGAACATTGAACATCATAAACAGCTCTGTTGTTTCCCTCCTCTCACCATGAGCCCCGAACCCTGCCAACGGCTGGTGTCGATGCCCCGCCATTCGTCCCGCCAATCGCGGCGCTCGTCACGGCGCTCGTCGCGGCGCTCCTCCCATCGGTCCCATCCTCTGTTCCCTCGCGCGTCGCGGGCGCGTCTCGGTTCCTGCCAGTCTCTTTCCTGAGACACAGATTGAAATCGATGCCAAAACATTTCGATGGTGCGTATGCAAGTGTGGGGGTTCAATGGTACATTAGTCTATATACATAATAGATAAATATATATACATATATAATATACATACAATTATGCATACAATTATACTATACTATACGTATGTACTTTTCAACGATTTGGGGGTATCCCTATTGTAGGACACGCTTGGCATGGGTCAATTTCTCCCAAGAGCCTGGGCATGAAGCTATTTTCAGTACGTGGCCAGTATGTTCTAGTCATCAAATCTGGTCCTTTACATAGCTTCCACCCAACCACACACTGAAAATCAAAGATGCCTGCTCTATCTTCTGGGAAGCAAACCATGAGTTGGAGCAACATGTTGTTACCTTCTAGCAGGGAACTCCCTGATCAAAATGGAGGTTTTAATGAAAAAGTCATGGAAGTAAATAGAAGATTTTCCTACATGATTTGTGATGTTTCTTGTTTTCGGATAACTGTCTTAAGTTGACAAAAACGGTCCACCCCCATGTCTAGTTTGTCAGACTCCATAGCAATCCAAGGGGCATAGCGCTTACCTCTGTCTCTCCAGCTTTCTCCATGGTCCTGATGTTTGTGCGCAGCAGCTTTGAAACACTGGTCAGCAATAGATGTTACCTCAGTGCACCTAACAGCTTTCAGGTATGTTGGATCATCTGTATATTAGGGTAAATGCCCTAACCCTGGTATAATATTTCAGGATAATATTTGTTTGCCCAAAAGTATTCAAACACTGTAGAAACATCACTGAGGTTGCTTGAAAACCTTGCGCTTCCTGTAAATTAAACCCGACGCAGAATTCTACAATGATGGCCTAGTTGGTCAGACATCTCATATCATATTCTATCCCCGTTGTATCCCCATTATGTTTGGTTTAATCCCATTCTTGGTGGTTCCCCAATCTATGCCATCCCGTTATGACGACACGAAGATCGGTGCCTCCCAGTTCCTCCAGTCGCTCCACTCCTGCCAAGCTGGTTCCTGGCTGTCAGGAAAAGGGGAGTTTCCCTATGGTTACCGAACATGGCAATGGACAACCTCTATTCTGAATGGGAAGTCATCTACAAATCGGTGGACACAAATGTACATGGATGATATTTTTCATTGTCTGATTGCCACAGGGTGTGTAATTCTTTGAAAATTCAAGAACATCAAAAACCACGTCCCACTGAGACTGAGGTTGGTCATGTTGAATTCATTTTTGAGGCGCCCAATTTTGACCCACATCCAGTCCTTTTTGTCACCTTCATCGACTCATTTGACTGTAGCATTTTACAAACTATCCTCTGGTAACATACAGAAAGCTATTGAAAATGGTGATTTAGTTCGTGGATTTACCCATTAAAAATGGTGGATCTTTCCATAGTAAACGTTTACCAGAGGGTATCACAAACCATCGCAAACTCACCCCTCCAAACCGACTGTGCGCATGGACCCTATCGCGCCAACCATTTCCGTGCCAGTCCTCAGCTGTCAATGTCATCGCTTCTTACCAATGCACGACTCATTGACTGATTCGTGGTTTCAATACCCATGAAAAGGCCGCTTGAAAACGGACATTTGGACATTATCATCCAAATAGGATGGAAAATCATCAAATATTCCAAACCAACAACATCCAACAACTATAGTAACTATAGTAGATACTGGCTGGGCAATGGCAACAGTAGGTATCCATATGGATCCATGATCTCTGATTGGATCATGGCGCAGTTGCCACCATGGAACACACCAGCGATGGTTCTGATCCTCAAAGTCGGACCTGTCAAGCCAGTGGAGCTGATGGCTTTTGATGTTCCCCAAAGTTTTAGGCACCCAATTCCATCGATTCCATGGCATGCTTCAGAAAAGACTGCTTGGATCTGCTTGGATCTTTTTAACATTGCAATTGCCATTTGGGAAAACTCCCAAAGTTTGGACCCTGGCCTCTGATTCCAATTGCTACGTCCACTCTGCCGCCTGTCCCACCTGACCAGTGCGATAGAACCCTGTCGGAATGGGTACTTATTCCTGAATCCCCAAGATTTTGATTTGAAACCACCATGAAATTGGTTGGCAAACTCCCCAAAAACTGATCTTCCAGGGGATTCCATGTTATTTCCAAGGAAGATAACTCGAATTATTGCCGGCCATCTAAACAGACAGTACTGCAGAATGCCTGCCGATCTGCGCTGTCATGTTTAAATGGCGTGATTGAAAAACAAATATGGGTTTCTTCTAAATGGACCTCCTGCAAGAAATTGTGGGCTTGTCCAAAATGGTGCACTCAAAATCCATATTGGTTTGACATGGTTTAATACCTCATTATCCCCATTCAAATGTGGTTCGCTAGCAATAAACTGGCAAATCCATAATGAATCCATAGGAAATCCCGCCATTTCTGGACAAAGACATCGCTTCCCAAAAACCGTCTGGCTCGTCGACAACCCGTTCCACCTGCTTGGACTTCTCCTGACGGGGGCTTTCCCAGGCCCAGGTTGGTTCATGGTTGAAGGAAGGCCCTCAAAAACGGGGAAGATCAATGCGGGTTCTGAAGCCAAATCTCATTTCCAGGTCTATTTCTTGGAATGGATAATTTAAAGCAATGTAAAGATATGTAAAGATTATAAAGCAACAACAAAGAACAATCTGCAGCCCGATGGGTATGGTATTCTTGGACTTGGGCCCGAGGAATGAAATACATCCCACAGCGGCCTCCTCTTGGACGCCTCACCGTGGCCGCGACAAGTTGTTGGTTCGTTGGTTTCCAGTCACTGCTGGAGTCAAGCCCAACTCCATTTGATTTGACTCAAATTGGGAGATGATTGCCTTCAATCTGATTTCATAAGTTTGTGAATAAATGTGTGATCGAAATTGGAGTCATCTGAAATCATAAGTTGTTGGCAGGAAACGCAGTTGGAACCACCATGGATTCGTTCTTAGTTACTGACAGTTATTGATATGTTATTGATCCTTGATTCAAACGACCCATGGTCTGCCAAGCCCGTCCTCCGATGTCGATGACCAGGTCTGAGCAGTGGTGACTTGCTGAAGAAAACAAACGGAATTTCTCTTGAGATGACCTTCAACGGTGATCACCTATAATCCCTTCCCCTTACTACCCCTTAATATCAAATCCCCCCTGGCTTCCTCGGGGATTTTGGAAGCTTCATCCAGTTGTATGCTGGTCATCTGTGATTCTCGCCCCGGCCAGGATGGACAATAAGAAGTGCTTCAAAACACCTACCGCACCAACCCATCTGGGAAATCGCAGGATTCAAACTGCTGGCCTCATATGGGGGCGGCGTAGAAGCGCGAAGCGAACTTTCAGCCGGGCACCTCAGTGCTTTTCACACAGATGTTGTGATGTAAAAATGGCTACCAAAAACAGGGATGTTAGTGGATGTTAGTGGGGATATAATGGTGATCTTGTTTTGTTCCATGCCAACAATCGAATCGAATCGTCGGCACGAAAGGACATGGGAGGGGATATAAGAGGATATAGGCTAATATAGGCTATAGGTGCATAGTGGTTGAGTAGAATGGTTGCATATATGTAATCATAATGGTTGAATATGGGTACAGAGTGGCGAAACCTAACATTTTATGGGGATACACGGATGATCACGGAGTAAATTGCAAATTTCAACTCAATTTACACCCCAACGGTGGGGTGACAGGAGCCTAAAAAAGTAATGTAAGGATTCGGCCAGCTCTCGAAATGGGAAGGCGACTGTGTGCGAGCCCGGAATGCTCGGGAAGGACGACCTGAAACAGTTGAGATTGCCAGGGCACGCCGATGTTTTCCTCTGGCAATGGGACAATTCACAGAGGAACCGATCAATTCGAAGAAATCAATCTCAACAACATGCCACCAGCCACCAGAATGTCCAAAGATACAGCCTCTTATCAGAGCCATCATTCAGCAAGGTGCTAGAAGAATGTGCAAACCATTCAAAAAATCGCTTGACTGTTTGGGTGAATCCTAAAATGGGAGGTACCCCCAAATCATCCATATTAGTGGGATTTTCCATTATAAACCATCCAGCTATTGAATATTGGGTACCACCATTTATGGAAACCCCCATATATATATATAGCCCTGAAAAGACAAATTCTGGACTTTTCCATTAAATAAATCGTCCAGCTAACATTGGGGTAGCTTCCAGCTATTGGAAACCCAGCTCTGCTCCCGATCTTCGCGGGACGCCTCCAAATGATTGGGTGAAGCTGCCTCAAGATCTACCACAGCCGTGAAAATCCGGAGGGGAAACCACTGGTATAAACAGCACAAAATTCAGCTTCTCAGTGGTGGCTTGGGATTTTGCAAAATTCAACACACAAGCGTTTCGAAACTAGCAACATAAAATACATATATTCATCGTATAAGGCGCCTGGGTCGCGAAACGCTTCCTGGTAAAGTCGCGTTGGTTCAGTCTGACCGACTGAACTTCCATTTGCCCAGCCTGGCAGTGAATCATCTCAAAGCAAAATGAGCAAATGCCATGTGTTACTCTTCCAGAATTGCCCATGTTTCAATGTCTTCCTAATATATCAAACTGACATAAACTGACGATGTAGGCTGACCACTTGAAGGGACCAGCATGAAATGCTCTTGACCCAGAGATGCTTTAAATGACAGAGTTGAGATCCAATTTGATGTTCACAAGCTGATGCCCAATTTGCGAAACTCAGACATGCACTGGACCACTTGGTGTTTCAACTTCAATAGTGGGGAAAACTACCTTTCATTCGAAATCAAATGCGGTTTTGGCTGTTGCAAAATTTATCTTAGACTTCAACATGGAACGTGTCAAAACTCGCTACTGGGAATACATGTTCATGGCATTTCATGGCAATAGTCATGGTATGAGGCGCCTGGGTCGCGAAACGCTTCCTGGTAAGGCGCTGGTTCACTCTGACCGATTGAACTTCCATTTGCCCAGCCTGGCAGTGAATCATCTCAAAGCAAAATGAGCAAATGCCATGTGTTACTCTTCCAGAATTGCCCATGTTTCAATGTCTTCCTAATATATCAAACTGACATAAACTGACGATGTAGGCTGACCACTTGAAGGGACCAGCATGAAATGCTCTTGACCCAGAGATGCTTTAAATGACAGAGTTGAGATCCAATTTGATGTTCACAAGCTGATGCCCAATTTGCGAAACTCAGACATGCACTGGACCACTTGGTGTTTCAACTTCAATAGTGGGGAAAACTACCTTTCATTCGAAATCAATTGCGGTTTTGGCTGTTGCAAAATTTATCTTAGACTTCAACATGGAACGTGTCAAAACTCGCTACTGGGAATACATGTTCATGGCATTTCATGGCAATAGTCATGGTATGAGGCGCCTGGGTCGCGAAACGCTTCCTGGTAAGGCGCTGGTTCACTCTGACCGATTGAACTTCCATTTGCCCAGCCTGGCAGTGAATCATCTCAAAGCAAAATGAGCAAATGCCATGTGTTACTCTTCCAGAATTGCCCATGTTTCAATGTCTTCCTAATATATCAAACTGACATAAACTGACGATGTAGGCTGACCACTTGAAGGGACCAGCATGAAATGCTCTTGACCCAGAGATGCTTTAAATGACAGAGTTGAGATCCAATTTGATGTTCACAAGCTGATGCCCAATTTGCGAAACTCAGACATGCACTGGACCACTTGGTGTTTCAACTTCAATAGTGGGGAAAACTACCTTTCATTCGAAATCAAATGCGGTTTTGGCTGTTGCAAAATTTATCTTAGACTTCAACATGGAACGTGTCAAAACTCGCTACTGGGAATACATGTTCATGGCATTTCATGGCAATAGTCATGGTATGAGGCGCCTGGGTCGCGAAACGCTTCCTGGTAAGGCGCTGGTTCAGTCTGACCGACTGAACTTCCATTTGCCCAGCCTGGCAGTGAATCATCTCAAAGCAAAATGAGCAAATGCCATGTGTTACTCTTCCAGAATTGCCCATGTTTCAATGTCTTCCTAATATATCAAACTGACATAAACTGACGATGTAGGCTGACCACTTGAAGGGACCAGCATGAAATGCTCTTGACCCAGAGATGCTTTCAACTTGTTCCACCAAACTGGAAATCTGGAAAATGACAGAGTTGAGATCCAATTTGATGTTCACAAGCTGATGCCCAATTTGCGAAACTCAGACATGCACTGGACCACTTGGTGTTTCAACTTCAATAGTGGGGAAAACATGGGAAAACTACCTTTCAATCGAAATCAAATGCGGTTTTGGCTAATTTATCTTAGACTTCAACATGGAACGTTTCAAAACTCGCTACTGGGAATACATGTTCATGGCATTTCATGGCAATAGTCATGGTATGAGGCGCCTGGGTCGCGAAACGCTTCCTGGTAAGGCGCTGGTTCAGTCTGACCGATTGAACTTCCATTTGCCCAGCCTGGCAGTGAATCATCTCAAAGCAAAATGAGCAAATGCCATGTGTTACTCTTCCGGAATTGCCCATGTTTCAATGTCTTCCTAATATATCAAACTGACATAAACTGACGATGTAGGCTGACCACTTGAAGGGACCAGCATGAAATGCTCTTGACCCAGAGATGCTTTCAACTTGTTCCACCAAACTGGAAATCTGGAAAATGACAGAGTTGAGATCCAATTTGATGTTCACAAGCTGATGCCCAATTTGCGAAACTCAGACATGCACTGGACCACTTGGTGTTTCAACTTCAATAGTGGGGAAAACATGGGAAAACTACCTTTCAATCGAAATCAAATGCGGTTTTGGCTAATTTATCTTAGACTTCAACATGGAACGTGTCAAAACTCGCTACTGGGAATACATGTTCATGGCATTTCATGGCAATAGTCATGGTATGAGGCGCCTGGGTCGCGAAACGCTTCCTGGTAAGGCGCTGGTTCACTCTGACCGATTGAACTTCCATTTGCCCAGCCTGGCAGTGAATCATCTCAAAGAAAAATGGGCAAATGCCATGTGTTACTCTTCCAGAATTGCCCATGTTTCAATGTTTTCCTAATATACAGTATCAAACTGATATAAACTGACGATGTAGGCTGACCACTTGAAGGGACCAGCATGAAATGCTCTTGACCCAGAGATGCTTTCAACTTGTTCCACCAAACTGGAAATCTGGAAAATGACAGAGTTGAGATCCAATTTGATGTTCACAAGCTGATGCCCAATTTGCGAAACTCAGACATGCACTGGACCACTTGGTGTTTCAACTTCAATAGTGGGGAAAACATGGGAAAACTACCTTTCAATCGAAATCAAATGCGGTTTTGGCTAATTTATCTTAGACTTCAACATGGAACGTTTCAAAACTCGCTACTGGGAATACATGTTCATGGCATTTCATGGCAATAGTCATGGTATGAGGCGCCTGGGTCGCGAAACGCTTCCTGGTAAGGCGCTGGTTCAGTCTGACCGACTGAACTTCCATTTGCCCAGCCTGGCAGTGAATCATCTCAAAGCAAAATGAGCAAATGCCATGTGTTACTCTTCCAGAATTGCCCATGTTTCAATGTCTTCCTAATATATCAAACTGACATAAACTGACGATGTAGGCTGACCACTTGAAGGGACCAGCATGAAATGCTCTTGACCCAGAGATGCTTTCAACTTGTTCCACCAAACTGGAAATCTGGAAAATGACAGAGTTGAGATCCAATTTGATGTTCACAAGCTGATGCCCAATTTGCGAAACTCAGACATGCACTGGACCACTTGGTGTTTCAACTTCAATAGTGGGGAAAACATGGGAAAACTACCTTTCAATCGAAATCAAATGCGGTTTTGGCTAATTTATCTTAGACTTCAACATGGAACGTGTCAAAACTCGCTACTGGGAATACATGTTCATGGCATTTCATGGCAATAGTCATGGTATGAGGCGCCTGGGTCGCGAAACGCTTCCTGGTAAGGCGCTGGTTCACTCTGACCGATTGAACTTCCATTTGCCCAGCCTGGCAGTGAATCATCTCAAAGCAAAATGAGCAAATGCCATGTGTTACTCTTCCAGAATTGCGGATTCTTTGGGTTTTCTCGGAAGCCCCTTCCTCTAATATTCACTACCCTGGAAAATAAACCTGGGTTAGCATAACATCTATCCAGATTAGGGATCATATAGGGGAATTCCGTATAGGGTTGAGTTGTCCATTTGAATTAAGGTTCATCTTTCTGGGGTGGTTGAGGCTATCCCCTGTTCGACGGAACGATCTTCATTTGCCATATTATACCACCATAGCCTCTCTAACCCAATATACCACATTGTCCAGCATGATCTCTCTGAACCTGAAATAAGGTCGTTTGGAAATGTGTTCTCCTCTGCTAACCACCCTTTACGTTGAGCTTCTGGTGAGGTCGTTGTAATTCAGCCAAATATTAACACATCGCAACGGTATATTATAATGTAACTCAAAATCTCCATTAGATGTGCAGCGTAAATCACATTACAACTACAACCATACATATAATCAACGTAAATAATGGGCATCTTTTGTGGTGTATGTCCATCTTTTTTAACCATGCACAGTATGTGTTCAAAAATGAGACATGTGTTTCTGGCAGGGCATCACGCGGTATCGGCCTTGCTCAAAGGCTGGTGGCCTAGCAATTGGGGTGAAGATGGGACCCCAAATTGCGGCATTTTGAGGTACATCATTGTTGAACCATGTTGAAACCAAATTTTGATGGCTGTCTTAGGATCAAGTGTTGGTTGCTACCGGTTTTCAATGGAGTTGGGGCCGTTTCCAAACCCTGAGAGCGTTTGCCACGGTTTCCATCTCTCCACCCCAAGTGTCGCCTTTTGCTCATCAGCTTCATCAAAACTGCTTCTTCTGTTGAAACCGTTTCGGCAAAATAGCCTTGCATCGCCTGTTCAGAAGGCCTTGGCACATTGAGAGAGACTAGATCGGTTTGGAATGAGGCAAGAGCAAAGATCTTGATACATCACAGAAGTATCACAAGAAAGGAAACTCGTCGTCACACCGGTAGAGAGTTGTTTCTGGGGCACCAACATGTTGCGGTCATCAATGTGCCCCGCCTGCAACGTACGGTTTTGTCTCTGTGGTATGCCCCGGAATGGCCATGTCCAAAAATGGCCGTGCCGAAAATTATGATACACCGTTGGAGTTCTGGGGATATATCCCATTGTTCCACATACCCGGCCATTGTTCCACATACCCGGATGTCCCCTTGCTTTTCACCATGTCCAACACCAAGAAAATGCGAATAACATAAAGAGTCGATGGAGTCATCAGTCCGTCGCGTCCCGTCGCGTCCTTGCTCAAGCGAAGCACTGCCACCATGGCAAAGCGGTGCTGTAGAGTGTCGTCCATGGACCATCCTCAATGAGTTGATGCATGTTGATGACCGAGGATCGCACCGGATGTGACTGATTAGTGACTGTTTAGTAACAGTTTAACCATTAGTAACCATTAGTAGCCATTAGTAACCATTAGTAACCATTAGAAACCAATGGTAACCATAGTTTGAACATGTCATTTTTGGATAACCATGCAGTGGGATTATCCAGATCTGAGAAACTAGAATTGTCTAATCATCCCCCGGAGCCATCCGCAGCCATGCCCGGTTATTTTAACACGGATCCCACAGGACAGGACATGAAACAAGGTGATGTTTTCCCAGTGATGTTTGTTTAGTTTATGAAACCCATCTAAGTATAGATTAGATGCACCAACCCCGAAAATAAAATAGTTCGATGTGTATATATATATATATTATCATAAATCAAACATTTATTCGAGTTACATGGTTTATAACCCCAGTCACTAGTTTTATAGATATGTCAAATATCTACCATAAATCCAACAGGTCTGCACCAAGAAACTCTTGCGTCGCTCTGGGTCCAACAAATCTGAGAAGTCGCTATACTTGGCCTCGCCTTTACCGGCCACCTGGTGGAAAAAAAACATGGCAGTTGGGTTCCCCCTTTTTTCAGAAATGGGTGACAATCATGTGAACAAGCAATGAATGAATGTTCAGGAATAAAATTCATGTTCAGTTACATTGAAGATCATTGAAGTTTCATGAATTTTGGTGGTGATGGAGGGTGTCCTACTTTGGCAGAACTTCCACAAAAAATGCAAACAACCTGCGTTCTACTACTTCTGAGACTGGGAGGACAGCAACACATCACCGTTGTTGCACCTGCTTCCAGTATGCCGCCACCTGGAGAAGGGGTGACAACACCAAGTGATTGACATCTCCAAAAAATTGGACATAACTTTGAGGCCACAATGATTGCAACAGCAACACTCTTCGGAGGCTCCCATCAACTTCTCTCCAGATGACAAGCTCAGTGGAAAAGAAAACATTTGCCGGCTCGTGCCAACGTACCCGGTAGCCCAAAAGGATCAAAAACGGTGGTTTTTCGAGCGCTTGGCGCTGGATCTATGTGTGCCCACTTGACTGCCTTTTTTTGAAAGTCTATCCCTCAATATGTAGAGGACCTCCCAAGGACAACCAATACTTCCATAGGTGCTAGGGTGAAAACATGATGGTTTTTTTTCGGTTTATGGTCATCCATCCCATAACCGGTATCCTGAGAAATTGGTTACAAAAAAAACCAATGAAGATATGGTATCCCATACCGTGGTGTTTTACCGATCAAAGTAACCTCTGGCCTAGGTGATCTAAATGGTCGGTCCAGCACAATGAGCACCTCCTTTTCTTCAATTTGAATCTCATCCATCTTGGTAGCCACAGCCACTGGCACTCGACATGCCACGATCACGCCCTGGACAAAGTGGCACATCTCAAACAGATAGGTTCAAGTTCAACGGAAATTCAATGGTGGCTAGGGAATGGTCATGCCATGGTGAAACGATTATTGCAAACTGCAAGTACTATCAAGTACTGCAATTTTGGGATTTTGCTTGTTCCATCGTGTACTGTGTGATACTGTGTGATACTGTGTGATACTGTGTGATACTGTGTGATACTGTGTGATACTGTGTGATACTGTGTGATACTGTGTATATATATAATTTAGAAGTGAGTTCGGAATGCGAAAAGTTGCAACTTCTGCGGCAATCAAGTCATGGAGGTCCATCCCCTAGGTTGAAACAAAGCAACTTCATCCTGCCCCAAATGATCCATAACTATCCATCACTATCCATAACTATCCATAACTCATGATCAACTATGATCAACTCATGGTTTAATTCCATCTACATAAGTTTCATAAGTCCTAAAAAAATCACAACTAATGACTTGGACATAAAATCTGCATCAAGGCCGTTGCATTTGACATCTCATGGCAGGTGTTCTGCTGAGCCTCCTCTCTCAGAAAGAGGCGATCTTTCCATTGGCCCTTGGTCATTTTCGAAACCTCATGAAGAGCCACCATGTGTCATGATGTCAAAGATGAGACACAGAGACTGCGTGGAATATGGTTGGCATGCCAAACTTGAGCAATCGCAAGAAAATGGCCAAGACCTTGACATGCCAAAATCGTGCACTTCTGTGTGTCAGAGACTAGGGTACCCGGGTACCCCCAAAACCCTTTGTTTATAGATGTTTTTATCCCCAGTTTCCCTCCTATGGCCATGTTTGAAGAAACTCACAGCCGGGTCCCACTGCGTATTCTTGCAGGATGGCCAGGCAGTTGTAGGCATCTACCTGGCGCCGCACACCGGGTCATCTTGGGTCGTTGACCACCAAGGATGTCCCAGTGATGGAAATCCAACGGCCACCACAGCTAACCCCCTAAACAAATATGGCGTGCTAATCATCAAACCTTTACCAGTCTCTTATCAAGCCACCCTATTGTTGGGGACAATATGGATAATACCATTGAGGCATATTGACAAACTGAGGCCCCAAGAAAATCTGACGACCACTGCACCCGGCGGCACCTGTGCTTCTGTGTTGGGATGAAGAAACAAAGGATACTCTGCGACGGCGATGGACTCCTCGGTTCCGTGGCTCGCGTGGAATCAGGAGCCAAAACGTAGCTGCTTAGCATAGTTAACTAAGTTGGTACCTGGGTTTCCTAGGGTCTATATGATGAAGATACAGTTAGATGATAGATGGGTTTGTTAACTCATAATGAGCAGGAGCATCACTTTGCAACCATGTTTCGTTTGAAGGACTTTTTTAAGATCATGACATAAATCAGACTGCGTTTCAGAACTGATCATTTTCGCCATCTTGAGCTTGAACTACCCATCTCAAAGCATCTTTGAAGCCACCAGCCAGCAAACTTTGAGAGAAACAGGAATCTCATCCGCAAATTCTGCCGAGCATGCGGATTCTGTTGTTCCACATTGTTGGTGAAACCCACGCATTGGGTAACTTCTCAACCTGTTTTTTTTGTTGATTCCCATTACCACAACCACTATACCTGGGTCCATGCTCAACCTCAAACCTACGATTTAAATTGTTCAATCCTATTCATGTCCAATATCCCCCAAAGATACTGTGGATGGACAAAATCCTGGTAACTACGGAACATGGCAAAACAAAATTTAAACCATTGGTATCTGTGAAACATTGGTAACTGATGGTAACTGCAACTGTTGGGAACTATCAATCTATTGATATATTTTGATAATGAGATACTTCCAGATACATCCAGATACACACTTACCAATAGTTCCCAATAATCCATAGATACAATGTTATCCATGTTGGAACTCCTTTGGAACTAGTGATTTTTTCATATTTTCTCTGCATGGATTGGACAGATTGGACATCCGGATACGCCAAAGGTCCACAGCTGTTGAGGTCATCTCCAATCTTGCAGCCTCGCGCATGGTCTCTGCCTTTGTCTCCTGGTGATATCTTGTTGCATTGCGATGCCTGGGTTTCTCCGATGATTTTTGCAAACCACAAAATCCAGTGGTTAAGAATTGCTCTTCCCAATGAAAAACGCAGCTTCGGACGAAATTTGGAGAGTTACTGATATTTCATATGTCCAATCAATAAAACACTCTCCAAAAGGTATGTCAGTCCTCCTCTTTCCAATCATTCTCAAAGTAAAAGATCTTAGCAAATGCCTGGCATGTTGCAGGTTGAACTTTTGTCTTACAAAGATCACCTGCTGGGACTGCCAAAACCAACAATCAATTGACATGTTTGACTCCGAAGTGAAGAAAAACTGGGTGGATAAGGAAACTTTATGCCATACCCCGAAAAAAATATGTTTGGAAAAATCGTTTGTACCTCCAGTGGCAAGAAAATCCTTCGGATCAAGCTACCCAAGGCATGCCCAAAAGATGGCATCAGCTTCAACGGATCGGGGCCTGCCGTGCCCGTCCAGCGCCCTGGATGTGAGCTTTGGTGGTGTGAAAGCTGTGGTAACCTCGGGCGGAAACCGTTGGAACATGCAGTATTTGGCTACAGCAAAAAGTGGAAATGAACCAAAATTGGGTGTATAGTGGTGTATATATTATATATATATATGTTATTATATATATATATATGTGTGTGTATATGATAAGTATATATATATATATTCTTATATACATATATAAATATATACAGTATATATATATTATATATATTATTATATATATATATTATTATATATATATATATTATTATATATATATTATTATTTATATATGTGTGTGTGTTATTATATATATGTTATTATATAGATAAGTGTGTTATTATATATATATGTTATTATATATATGTTATTATATATATATGTTATTATATATATATATATGTTATTATATATATATATGTTATTATATATATGTTATTATATATATATATATGTTATTATATATATGTTATTATATATGTGTTATTATATATATGTTATTATATATATGTTATTATAAATATATATATGTTATTATATATAATATAATGCATATATATATATTATCATATATATATATATATTCAAATATTCACTACAAAAAGAAAACGTCTTCTTTGTGGCCCTTCTGGGCTCGGGTGGGAAACTGACTCGGTTGTTGCTACTTCAAACTTTCAGTTTTTCAAAATGTGTGTAAGAAAATTGAGGAAAACAAACCCAACATGTGCAGTCGTTACAATGCTTTTGAAGTGCTCTGTTCAAGTTCACGGAAATAGTCATTCTTGTTTGCATTTTGACCGTGCGGTTTCAAGTTGTCGCACGCCACAGATGTGTTATTTGCGTATACTTGCAGTGTTCTTGGATGCGACTGTGGAAACAGGAAAATTAAGCAAACAACGACGTTATTGTACGAAATCCTGAAGGATGCTTTTGAGATCATTTGAGTGCTACCAAAACAGAAGCCCGGCGCAAAGGAAGTTCTGGGCTTTCTGTCTAGTTGCCTACACGGCATCGTGGTTTTGCGGAGCCCCTCGAACCACATAGGGAATGCACAGACGAAACACTGGGGTCGGCATCTTGGACGGCATGCCATGATCTACACTGCACGACATGGACAAGAGATGAACCGCATGGCCCACCCCTTTCCTGCAATCCAGCAGCGAACGACGGCATTGCAACTTGCTACATCGAGACCTGACGTAGCAGAACATGGTCTGAGTGAAAATGATCTAGCAACTGTGTATTCTGTACCAAAATTGGCTAATGGACATGGTTTCTCTGGTGGGGTCCATAGAATGGTCATGAGATTGATTCCTGCCAACAATTTGATTTTGCTAAATCATAAGATAGTGCCCGGCTGCGTGGGGCAGAAGTTTCAAAGGTAAGGAGCCGCTACAGGAAAAAGAAAAGCCGCTTGAGCGGCCACTGAGTCAGCAATCCCCAGCAGCATGCTGCGTGCGGCCTTACAACGCCTTGCTCAAGCGAGTGCGTTCCCGATATTCCCCAATGGCATGATGGCCGCGCCGACTTTGATACAAGGCAGACATTTTCGGGCCACTCAAAGCATGCATCGTTTTCTTTGCTTTTCGCAAGCTTAAGCTCTCGCAATACTATCGTGCGCATTGTCCAACCTCATCTTCCGAAGCAGTGTGGTGCACTTTTGGGCATTCTTGGCATTCTCGCACATATTCTTGCCACAGCTTTCCCAGACGCAGGCCCACAAGCGTGGAAACAAAGACCCTCCCTTGGCACCTGCAAATCACGTGACTTGCTCATCTTTCTCAGGGTCACGTTGATCTAGTGACTAAGTGAATCAAATAGCCGCTGAGTTCTCTAGCGAAGTTGTATCAGTTGCTAATTGGGTCTTGCTGAGCAGCTGAGTCTTAGCATCAAACTTTCAGGTTCCTATATCCATGTTCTTGGAGCTTAGATACACAATTCTGTTGGTGAACCACTCATCCAATCTTTTGGTGAACTCTCAGCCAACCTCCCCACGTTCCACCAACGGTGCCTTCTTCAATCGCGGCCGTTGCGACCAAAATGGATGCAACACCATCCCTGAAGTCCTGCAAAGCCTGGGTTGGCCCAAAAAAGCGGAATAAATCGAAACCGGGACATGATGATAGTTTTAGGGATGCCCAATTTTTGAACAAACCCATTTCCATGGTGAAACCACTAATCACTGATTTTGAAGGGTTTGCCATGCCTATTGGCGGGTGAAAATCACCTCCTCCATCCGGGCACTAAAGGATGGTGATACAAGGATCCATTCATGTTGCCATGGGAATTTCATGCCTGGAATGGGATATAGAGCCAACTGTAGCCGACAAGATATATGATTCATGTTACAATGGTGAATCCACCAATCTCACCATTCTATGGTGTCTTCGGTCATCTGGCCTTCTGCTGTTGCGTAGCAGACATGACCCTGGTGCCAGCCACGTACCTCGCAGAAGACAATGCGCCATATCCCGGGTCTTGGCGAATCAAAAGTTAGCACAAGTCGTTTCTTCTGCAACAATCATCTCTCCTTAGGTGACCCCATTTATCCAGTTTATCCAGTCAGTTTGAATGTTTCTCAACTCACGAAAGGTTTGTGTTTTGAAGGTTTCTCAACTCGATAAACCAACTCGCGCGCCGTGTCATGGGCCGCTTCATGTGATGGTCGATGCTCTTGGAGAGTGGGTAGGTGTCATCCACCTTGCCACAAGGGCATTTTCCAAAGTCTCTGCAGAATAGAACAACAAGGGAAATTGCAGGATATCATGGCTTTTGCCAAATATAGGGGTTTCCGGTAAGAATGTTCAACCACCTCTGGGACGTTAAGACTGGGTGATAGTTCCAATCGGTGCCCATCTCCAACTAGTTTTCTAATAACCTGAAACTTACATTTGGATATGGGGGGTTCCTTTCCTAAAATGGGTACCATGGGGTTTCAATACTCAAACAGCTTAATTTTTGATGATTCAGAGGTACCCCTATTTTGGAAAACACCTACATCCCTGTTATTTTTCCGCTTGGTTGAGCCACCCCTCTGGCGAAGAATTTGGGTGTGGTGACATCAGCATAGTCACAACACATCCCATGCGGGTTGATCACTGAACGACACCTGCTCCACAAAGATGATGCACCTGATCTTCTGTCCAGTCTGACCTGTGTCGAATGGGAAACCAGAGGTGAGCTGAGAATAGCTGAGATGCCAGACATGAAATCCGTTTCAATCAAGTTCAGAATCACCAGCAAACATTCTTGTGTCATAGCATTTTTTGGATGATACAAGGCTAAACTGAGTCTTAAAAATGCAGACTTGCAACAATCCATTTCTTGCCATCATGCCATCCCAAAGACACAAGGGACCACCATGAGACCGTCGAGCGGCTAAGGTCTTGTAGCAGAAGAAGCAGCTGCTTCAGCTTCTCCGGTTGTGCTGGGGGCCGCATAGCATCCCAATCTTCCTAGAGTAACGTTCGGTGCTTCGAACTGGGTTCGTGGTGGCGGTGCAATGGAACATCGTCTTTCAGGGGTCATCCATGCCATGGCATACAGGACTGGCATCAATCTGGTTTGAGACCTCCTTTGGCATTGTGTCCAGTCTATACCTCCAAGAATGGGTTCCAACAAATTTAAGACCCCAAACATCTACGAAGATCCCAAATCACAGGTTCGCTTGAGATTCGGGCGAGTTCATACATCCAAATGCCTAATTTATACAGTATGGTGTGATGTCATAGACTGAATAATTTGATATCCCAGTGAATATCTATATATATATATATATGTGTGTGTGTGTGTGAGCACCTTAAACAACCCAATTAAAAATAAAATGAATTTCGGTGGTATCCCCAACAGACGCAAGGTTTTATTTTTACAAATCTTTTTCAAGCGTGCTGCGAAGCCAAGCGCTGGAAACCCTATTGATCCTATTGAATCTGTTGAACCTGACCTGGCCCTGCACCAAAGATTCCCAAAACCTTTTCCGGGACCTTCTTTGCAACCTTCTCTGCAGAATCCGTTGAGAACCTGACTTGGCTTTGCACCAAGGCTTCCTAGAACCTTCTCCGGAACCCTGTTGAACTTGACCTGGCTCTGCACCAAAGCCTCTCAGACCTTCTCCGGAACCTTCTCCGGAACCCTGTTGAACCTGGCCTGGCTCTGCACCAAATCCTCCCAGACCTTCTCCGGAACCCTGTTGAACCTGGCCTGGCTCTGCACCAAATCCTCCCAGACCTTCTCCGGAACCCTGTTGAACGACCTGGCTCTGCACCAGAGCCTCCCAGACCTTCTCCGGAACCTTCTCCCCGGAACCTTCTCCGGAACCTTCTCCGGAACCTTCTCTGGAACCTTCTCCGGAACCTTCTCCGGAACCTTCTCCGGAACCTTCTCCGGAACCCTGTTGAACCTGACCTGGCTCTGCCTGAACTCACAGTCGACTTCACCAGCAAAGTGCCGCACTGCAAGATCTCTGCTCCAATGGTAGCGGTGCATCACTCAAACCTGAAGGACATAGACTTGCTCATGGCAGCGGAATGCAAACATAGTGACAAGACACAGAATTGGCCCCAAAGAACATTTTTGGGCGTTGATTTCCTGATTTGCTGTGTGGCCTGTTCATAGATCAACATTAATCCTAGGCTGATCTGATCCGTGTTCATGGTTCTGAGTTTCGGGCTGCCTGCACATGTCTAAGCACTCTTCGAAGTGCCTGCCTCAAGCAACATGAACCGGGCTGACATCCAAACACAATCAGTCAGCTGTTGCAAACAACCATTGTACACAAACAGCTAAAACATCACACCAGTGGGATCAGCCCGGCCGAGCCTGAGTTTCGACACAAGGCATGGTAGGGAAAATCTACGGTGGGTGTGACCGGGGGAGCATCCTGTAAAAGACAAATTATGGTAGCATCATCATCATCATCACCAGCATCACCTTATTCTTCTTCATCATCATCCTCCTCATCATCACCACCATCATCCACCTTATTCTTCTTCTTCATGATCATCATCTTCTTCTTCTTCTTCATCATCATCACCTTATTCTTCTTCTTCTTCATCAGCATAACCATCACCGTACCGTAGTCCAAGAAACATGCTTGATTGCGACCAAGGATTTTGGCAAGAAGGGCGCGTTGCTTGTTCAAATTGACAGCTGTCAAAGTTCCCAACTTGGTAAAATCAATGACCACAAGGACAGCAAGCTGTTCGTTCTTGACCTTTCAGGGTGAAATTGCAGCACATAACTTGCATTGTCTATTTGAAATTGAAAACATCCCATGATTGGATTAGAGTTAGATGTTGAGTGGACCAGCCTGCAAGGACGCTGCAGTTTGTCGAAGCCAGGGGTCCATGTTTGGCAATCCAGACACATCAGGCAACAAGTTCATGTTGCAGACTTTTGCCATGAACTTCTCGACGATCCTTAGCAGGTAATACCCGCACCAATGCAACAAGTGACCTTTGGAACCCTCAGTGTAAGGGGTCGTGGAACACATAACTTCAGGGGGTAAGAATTAAGGGAGTCCAAAATATGTTTCAACATTGTCAATTTCCAACTAAGTGCCCCCTTGCCAACAGCAAGCTGGGTCTTGGTGCGCGTCACGGACAAAATGTGCTGCCGTGCTGCCTGCTTCTTTTGCTTCTGCTGGTGGCCAACCCAGGCCAGCTCATCCAACCCAACTACAAAAAGTTGGGGATCAACCCTGAAACACTGAGTGGTAGACTATCATTCTGGGAAACTAAGAACAAACAATAGTTAATAGCATTGAAACAAATCGAGTAACGCCAGTTTGCTACGGAGCCCTTGAAACTGGCATGCCTGGGTCAACTTCCTCAACGTCAGGGGCCCCGTCCAAAGTCAGAGCTGCTGGTTGCACAAGCTCTGCACATAGTGACAGATGTTTCACGGACCAATTTGGTAGAGCCACCTCCACGCTTGGCACGGAGGGATCTGTGATCCATTAGTTGCAATGTCGGACAATTAAAAACCGGCCTGTCGTTTGGTCGGGCATTTGGCATCTTATTTAGGACATGGCTCAAAAATAAACCTGAAGATCTGACTGAGCAATGCAACGGCATCCAACTTTTTGGGCTGATATGAGGTACTGACTGCACGGTGCAAGTCAAATGAACTGAATCAGTGACATGGAGGACTGCTCTTTGCAAATCCGCATTTTTCAGCAGCCAGGCATGAGAGTCCAGACTCTGATGCAAGTGACTTCGGTTCCTCCAGCTCCAGCACGTAGCGAGGTCCGGCGTCAGATTCCGGGGGGGTCTTTCCAGATCCCCATACAGTCGCCTTTGGTCCTCATCCACAGCTTCTTTCATGCCCAACTGCAGCATGGCCATCACGCCTGTGCACGTGAAGGTGATTGGGATCAGTGTCACATCCATCGGGCCCCCGCCCCTTTTCGTCAATAACCTGAAACAATGACAAAACTTATATCCGGACTTGGGAACTTGAAGAAAACTTAGGCGCGGCGTGATCGTAAAGGCAGACTACAGGAAACCAAGAAAACGACATATCGGCAGACCCTTTTAGATGCCCAAAGCATACGCCACCCGGGATTAAGCGTGAAGTCCGACACTCTGACCATTATGCTACAGGACCCTTGCCTGCAAAGCATTTTGCCTTCTCATTCTCTCTCTTTGCCCTGGCTGCAAAGGGCTGGGGTTTAGCCTGATTGCAGCTGCGAAAAAACATTTTTTCTGGTTCTAAAATGTGTTTTTCCGCGCTGCTCTTGTGAAACTCAGACAAGCCCGGCTTTGCAAAAAAAAACATTTTTCCAGGCACTAAAAAAATGTTTTTTCGTATGTCTCTTGTCAAATCTGCCAACTCCACCTCGTTGCCTCGCTTTAGCTCGCTCCAAATTGCGCAGATGCATACAATACATAACTAAGAATGCTCTAAGAACTTGAGGGACCCTCGACCTATTGTGGTGAAAATTTGTCTGCATTTAAAAATAAGAATTTGAGGGACCCTGGGCCTCAAGCTTTTGGATTCTTAACCGATTATAATATATACATATATATATATATATGTATGTATATATATATATATTATTGTTGGTATTTTATTGCTACCCAAGGACCCAGAACCAAAGAATACACGGACTCCGTGGCAGTCCTCTGCCTGCGTAAGATAAAATCCATCGTGCTTCTGATCTTGTAGCCTCGGCGCATCGGCAAAGCCAGCAAAGCCAGCAAAACATCGTAGATGAGATATGTTATTACATGTGTTTGTATGTGTATAAATAAATAAATAAATAAATAAATCAATAAATAAATAAATATATATATATTATGTCATATACATCTCATAGATCATGTTATATGTATATATGATAATGATATATGCACACATACACGTTGCATACGTTGCCATCTCATCAATGTATACTCAAACCTACAAATGCAAATTGGCAATGGGTTGGGGCAAGCTACACTCATAGTGAGTTAGGATCCACAGATTGCAACTTTGCGATTGTACACGTCTCAGAAAAACCAAAACCCATTGGTTTCCCCTTCGCAAATGACATAAAATGCGTAATTCTCCTGGAAGTGGGGGTATTTGGATATGTTCAAAACTGTCCGCGCACCTCTGACGCACCGCAGGAAGAAGTTTGGCCTTCAGAAAGGCTCTCCAGCCATAGAAGCCAGCCTGAGTGGGAGGGCAGCGCCTGTGAAACTGAAATCCGATGATAACAGCAACAACCACAATGACAATCATAACGACAACAATAAATATAATAAATCATAGTAGCAACAATGACAACAATCGTAATCATAATTGTGACACTCATTGTCATAATAATATTAATAATGACATGTAATGACAATAACATACAATAACATACAATAACACTAAGAAATCAAATCATCACCACCACCATCAATAAAAATTTGACAAGTCCCACCTCTTTGAAGCAACGCTGGGCGATGGCTTGTTGCCTCAAACAGCTGATTGATGGATTGCTGGGTGCATTTTGGGTTGCTGCTATTGTGGTTTCAGCAAAAATGCCACGTTTTTGCGTTTTTGTTACCTCAAAGACGTTGCTTCTAACAGCTCTTTGTTCTTTTATTGTCCTTGGAGACCGCGGTACAAGTGAAACAATGGACATGCTCAAGTATTGGGCTGCAACGGTTGCCAAGTGCTCACTTGGCTGGTCAGGCAGGTGTATCAGCCAAAAAAAAACCTTTCATTGATGGTGGGGCACCCGCAAACAGCGATTATGATAAGTCTACGTACAGAAAAATCAAGGATGGGCCATACACACGCATAATCAGTATAATCGTGCATCCTCCGTTGGCTTTGTCCAAACGGTTTTCTCCCAATTAATGGCCGTTCAAAATAGGGGGAAGTCTGGTGTGGAACCACTCGAATGAGCTTATGGTAAAACCAAGTCCCTGGGTCCCCTGGGTCATGGACTTCTCCAAATCCTCTCGACAGTCCCACAATGGGCTGCCCTCGCGACTGGAATAGCCCTGAGCAGCACTGTTCCATCCGGATGATCGCAAAGCAAGCGGTTCGATAACCCCCATGGTTGTGGTTGATGATCATTGGGGTTGATAGGGCTCAGCAACTACAAAACATGAGGCACTTTTTTGTCTGGGTGAGTTAACGTTTGGAGGGTACCCTTAGATTTCTACGTGTCACCCAGCCCATGCAAACAAACACCTGAGCAACGGCAAAACAACTCAGGGGCGGAAATCGAAAAACTTATGGCGAAAATGAATTTAGATAATATTTCCTACGAATCCTGGTAATGACATCCATCGGTCAATTTGAGTAATTATAGTTTCTTGCCATTGGTTGTGCGGTTTTATTGACAGAGTCCGCCTTCAGAAGTCACTCTTGCAAAGTTCATGTTAGAGATAACAGAGGAAAAAATGGGTTCGAAATAATCCCCGATGTGTAATCCACAAGTGATTTCATGAGCTCCAACTGCCCAGTAGTTTATTCCGTCTGATTCTTTACAAGAATTACCACAAGCAGTGAGTCCCATCGCATCTGGACAATTATCATATGTGCTCATATCAAGTCCCAACCATGATTTGGACAAACTGATAGTTTCCCCCAGCATGTAAAGCCGCTTTATCGGCCATTATTTTATTTATCAATAATTCAGAGTTCTCCCATCAAACATAGAGTATTCTCGTTTTTGCCAGTTGGATCTCTAGATGTCAGTTGTGTCCCATTGTTGCTATCCCATCTCTATTTTCCTATCTGTTGGCGAAGGCTCAAACAGTGAAGATTCATTGGGATCTAACTATTCCCCATTGGTTTCCCTATCTTCTAAATGACAAATTGTGATCAAATCCCATCACTGGGCCTGGAGAACCTTCTCTAAGCTCTGTTGACATTTCTCTTGTAGGACCTGCGGAGCTTGAAGCTGCTTCAATGCTTCAAGAAGTGTTGAACATGTGAACATGGATTGATGACTGTGGAGAAAAAACGAAAGGTCGCAACTGATTGAAATCGGAGGTATTGAACATGATCAACCAACAAGAAATTTGGACGTTAGCCAACAAGCAGGGCGAATGCCAAAAGACATGAGAGATCAGCCAGCGATGATTGGTTGGTGGTTTCAACCCCATCAACGCTTTTTCTCTGAAACCGCAACTGTCCAAAGCTGTCTTTTCTTAGTGTACATCGTGCTGTGCCTCAAAAATCTAGTCGTGCTCCTACCCCCAAGGTGCCACTAGCTCTTTTGGCTACAGCTCCATGGCCTAACCATGGCCTCAGATCTGACTCTTGAGAGCCGCAACAGGAGATGCCTTCACGACAGTCTTTGCAGGCTGGGCCTTCACCATGACTTCCTTGCCGAACATCAACTTCTTGCCTGCTTTTGTGGCTGGCTTCTGCCTGGTCTTGATCATGCAGAGCCCTGGAAGAATGAACTTGCCAGACTTCTTTACCTCCTCAGTTCCAATCTCGGTCAAAGAGTTCAGGATCTTGCCCACGTCGCCCTTCTTGAGTTCGGTGGCATCGGCCAAAGCAGCCAAAAGGCTTCCCTTGGTCATGGCCTTCTGACCCTTGGTCTTCATCGCACTGTTCACCTTCTTGGCCTTGGTCGCCTTCATGACCTTCATTGCGGCAGGCATGGTGAACGAAGTGAACGAAGCGAGAACTGTCAGAATCGAATGCAGCTTGAGCCAGACCAACTTGCCTTCCCAGCTTGAATGCTTGGAGTGACTGAAAGGTGAAGACCAGGTTACTATATAAAAACAGCAGGAACGGTCTTTTATACTTTTTTACTTCACCAGAGCTCCTAGCTTTCACTTCCGCCAAACTTGCTTGCAGGCCTTCAGTTCATCGCTGTCGCCGCCGTAGCTCATCGTCGTGTAGGATCTCAGAACAGGGGGTGGAGCGACGTGAAAACCATGGCAGTAAGCCCGCCATCGGGCTGTTTCATGAAGCCGCCAATCAACGCATCCAGCAACATTTTCATGAACCTGTCATGAACCGATGATCAAGCCATCATGGTCCAAGCTCTGTTGAATCACAACTGTTTGGCCAATCTCCATGTTTTTGATCACTGCTCCATTTTTGTTGGGATGTGGGGAAATATACCCTTCATGAATCCAGATGAATCCAGATGAATCCAGATGAATCCAGATGAGACCAGATGAATCCAGATGAATCCAGATGAATCCAGATCAAGGAACCGCTCGAAAAGATGGTCTTTGATGTGCTCCTCTTTGGGGCACCAGATTTGACTTCGCAGCGTTTCCTGCTCCGATCGGCGGTTGGGCTTGGCGAGTGGTTGCACAAGGGAAGAAGTGGGGATGGGTAAACACGGTAAACACGGTAAACACGGTAAACACCATCCCCTTGAATCAACTTGGTATCTTGGAGGTTTATGGCATTGGGTTTACATGGGTTTACTATGTTTACCTTATTGCAATCACCGTTCAATCACCCCTATCTTTCACATGACATGTTGCAGTCGCCTCCAATTTTCGGCGCCGATTCAGAAAGTCTCCTGTCCTGGCTACAAGACTTCCCAAAATCTTCAGCCATTGGACAGGTAAGACTGTGGTTTAACACAGGACTCATTCGTTAATTGCTTGGGGCACAAGAGAAATGAAATGAAATGAATCAACTATGAAAATGAATGAAACAGGTGGACAGTGACTGTTCATGCTGATGTTACCAGAAACTCCCCGTGAACTGGGACTCAATGGGGTTTTCCACACCTCTGGATGGATTAATTACTGAGCAAAAATGAAGCATGCCGGACATGTTTTGTAACAGGTGGTAAATTGCCACGCTTTCAGTCTGATATTTAGTCACCCTTGGGATCATGAACACAACTTGGAAATGCCAAATGATCTAATGGGGCGCCATCCCTGGAATCAACATGACAGTCGAGCCGCCTGCCATTCAAATAGCTTGCTGTGAGTCCAAGGACCCTCGGCTGCTGTCGATTCTTCCACTCCACGGGATCTTTCCTCGAGCTTGGCAGCAGGGACTGCCAACAGCCATCAACAGCCCCTCCATTCCACCAGAACTTCGACTTGGCTATGGGCAATTTCGCATCAATATCGCAATGTCCTGTTCGAACTCGATATTTCATGTTCAGAAGAGGAGCATGATCGACACGAAAGGATGACTTCCAACAGCATTGTGACCTGCCAATGATCTCACAGGATCGTGAACACTCAGTGCACCATGCTGTAGAAACTAAATGAAACTAACACAGTTGTGCAAAAGAACGAGTCTGTCCACTTTGTCACCTTTTTCCGACAGAAATGCCCCTGTGAGTTGGCTTTCAAGGTTGACGAGTCGTTGCTTTATTGGCAAGTTGAGCCTCCCCAATGATTTGATCCAAGATCATTTACATCCATCTCCAAATGATCCATTTCTGCCCATTGAGTTCGATGATTTTCCATGATTTTCCCATTTCAAATGCCACCATGATCCATCCATCGGGGATTTCCCTTGCCACCATCCAACCATCCACGTTGCCCACGGTGTCCGACATTCGTCAAAGACGATGAGGCTCAACTCGCTGAGGCGCAGAAAGGCACGCTGAAGCAGCGCCTGGCGACCGTGGGTCAAGGTGAGCCATGAATCATTGGTTGGTTGACAATGGTAGTAATGACAATAGTTAATAATTGTTATAGAAAATATAGATATTATACGTTATTATACTACCACAAGAGTTAATTGTAGTTAATGGAGTATATACAACAGGGTACTTTCAGTGGCTCTGAGGATGATAGGGTTTCCGCAAGACCAAAAATGCTATGTTGGAGGGATGTAACCAGTTTGAAATCCTGGATGACCGGCTCCCAGAAATCCAGAAATGCCCCCAAATTTTGAGAGTTTGATCTCAACTTTTCTGATTGATAAGGAAGTACAACTCACGAGTTTTCGCCACGCCTGTTGAAAGATGGCGCCAATTCCGACAAAGACCTGGTAATCATCCTTGAGCTGCTGCCACCCTGCAGCCCAGCTGACGCAGCTATGGCTGAGAAATCTGACTGTTTTTTTCAAAGAAAGTTTCTTGACACCTGGCTGTTGGTCAGAATCCTGGTGACCACCAAAATAACTGTAATTTTCTCATATTCATCCCCTCAAAATACGGTATGAATCATAGGTTTTGATCCCTCAAAATCAGCATGAAATCAGCAACGATCCATCCGTCTCTAAAAAATGGACAGCTGACGCTTGAGGACCCAAACACTCTGGCGTTTGTCTCGTGATCTTGCTGGTCACCGCCACGGCCCGCAGACCTTTTACCTTCGCATTGTGAGTCATCACCAGGGCCGATGAATCATCGGTTTTTTGTCCATCAAAATCGCGTTTTTTTGGTGGTTCTCCTCAAAAAATGGTTGACCGTCATTAAGGCACTACAGCAAATGTGTATCACTTTGAGTAGTTGAGCTGCCTATTTGGCCTGAGCCACGTGCTTTCTCTGGTCTTGCAATGATGATAATAACACAATGATAAGGATAAAATAGAAACAGTGACAATCATCTGAATTAGTAATAATAACAGTAATAACACTAATAATAACCGTCGTCGTCGTCATCGTCGTCGTCATCATCCTCATCCTCCTCCTCCTCCTCCTCATCATCATCATCATCAGCATCATCATGCACCACTCATAATGATCATCCACCTTTGATTCGCGCACAAAGCCATGCCCCGAGCTCGGCACTGTGGACTGCTCCTGGATCACCTGCGTCTGCTGGTTGGCCAAGGCAATTGTCGGTACCTCAGCTGGGCAGCTGAGGGTACCGCAAGGGTGTTGGGAGCTGGGCCCCTGTGAATTAGTGCTGTTTTGTACATCTCTATACACTGTGTGTACATATACATATATATATATATATTTTATATAATAGTCAAACAGGGGAAAGAACCGGAGACCCCAAAAGAAACGGGAACCCAATTCCCCAGACCCTGCATGAAACACAACCAAATGCTCCCTTTTGCACGGAGCACTTGAGCCATGCCGCAAGCAGCGGAAGTTTCACCCCGACCCGGTGGTTGTTGGGTTAGGGGAATCCCTACTATAAACATGGCTACCCTACCTACCTAACGCGTCTAAGCAGGTGGTGCTATTTCTGTACATATTGGGATGTATCTACTTGGAACTACGTTGGTACTCATAGCTACGGCATGCCTACATACGACCTACTACCTATGCTATACATAGTGGGGCTCAGGGGTCGGTATATTTCAACTCCCCCCTCGCCTGTTCCACACGCACTGCGCATTGGCAGTATCCTAAGCAGCTACTGTCGCGTGAACGGACGTTCACAGCGACCTAGGCTTTGGATTTGAGGTCTAAGGGAAGGTCAGTACGGATTCCTAGAAGAATTAGTGCTGCTGCCCATTTGTGTGGAGGCAATGCCTTGGTGAATATGTCTGCCGCCTGGTCATCGGTATGGGTGTACTCTATCTCGGCAGAGTCATCTCTGAAGACTTCAGACAGGCAAGACAAATTAACTTTGTGTGTTCTAGTTATATGGCGAAGCTTGGGACTATATCCTTTCTTCACAACTAGGATTGTTGCTTGATTATCTTCGTGGACCTTAAGGGTTACGGAGCGTGCAAGCAACAGCTCCCATAACTGTAAGGCAGGCAAGCCTTCTTGATAAAGCGAATGGGCTAAACTAACAACCTCGCTTTCCGTGGTCGATCTAGAAGTGGATGTTTGACGCTTGCTAATCCATGCAAGTGGGAAGAAGGAACTAGGGCCAGTCAAAACCAAAAAGCCACCGGAGGTTGAGCGCGCAGTTGATCTGTCGCCGGCGAAGTCGGCGTCGACAAACAGTCTGAGCTCTAGGTCTTCAGGTTTGTCCTGAATGGTACCTACTAACCTGTAGTGTGGGGTTGAGGCTATATACTGGATTAATCTTAGGACCTTCTTATCATCCCCCCTGGACCACGACTGGACCTTTGTGGCCAGATCATTGATAGGCTTGATGATATCGGGACGTGCAAGTCTACCTAACCAAAGGGCTTTCATCAAAATCTTACATGCATTTGGAGCTAGTTCCCCTTTAGTTTCATCATCTTCAATGGTGATGGATCCCTCAGGTGGAAATGGCGTGGCGGCATGCTTGAGTTTGGTGACACCGGTTATTGATTTATACAAATCTACGGTCTGCTGAGCGTAGTCTGCCATGTCAAAAACCATGCCATCTTGGGCTTGGAAGGCTGCACACTTTTCATGACCTTCGGTCTTGGAGAGTGGGGTAACAACATGGTTGCGTCCAAGAATCCTATAGATGGGCTCTGGGGGTTCAATGTCTACCACAGAAGTTAACTTACTCCAGAATGCATCATGCTGGTCGGCGGGGCCAGCTAGAGTTAAATCGTCTACGTAAGTTGACAGAAGTAACTTTGTATCTGGGAAGTAAAAATTTCCTGGGTATTCTTGAACTTCCTGTCCACCAAGGTTCTTGATGATGACTTTCAGGTGTTGTTCCCACAGGCCTCCGGCATCAGGATGACCGTATAAGGCTTTAATTAAGAGGACTACGGGCTTAACAAACTGTTGTTTCCAATACTTAGGGCGGAGCTCCGGGGGAAGCTCAATCCAGGTTTTGTATTTGGAAGATAGCAGTGCTTGGACGTAAGCTTTGACTGCATCTGCAGCCGTCGCGCGGTTACCCGGCAGCGACCCATACGCCAGGCAGGCGTTTAGCCCTTGGACGGAGGTGGGATTTGCGCCGAGTTCTTGGTAAACCGCGGCTGCACCATGTTCGTCCTTTGCGCAGTCTCCTCTATGCGCCCCTTCATTTTGTGAAGGTGGTCTGCAAGCTCGTAGAATTTAATGGACGCGATGGTCATGAGCTGACCAAAGTGCACTGACACACCCGAAGCCTTAGTTTCTTTGCGTACATCTTCCTTCTCGCGGACCGAGCCAAGATCCCAAGTACCAGCCTTAACCAAACCATCGGCTTCGGCGCGGATTGCCTCTAGGGCCTTGGGATTGGACAGCATCTCTGCACGGGATAAGAGCTTAGTGACCATAGCTTTGATCTCAGGCGTTGGCGCCTTAGGGTCTTCCAGGTGGAAGGCTTGGGCGGTCAATTGTTCGTGGTCAAGAAGTTCTGTAACCAACCTATTAGCAGTGGGGTCTGATTCAACAGCTAGGGCTAAATCTTCAAAACCAGCTAATGGGGATACATGTTTAAGGTGCTGCTCAATTTCCCTATGGGGTTGAGGCTCGCTGGTTGCCGGTCGGCAAGGCATAGCAGGAACGGACTGCTGGGCACATTTTGAGGGATACAAAGCTTGCGCAATTAGATTAGTCATTTGGGGCGGATACATTGCGGAGCGAGTGGTCTCAGCTCCCTCACATCTGGAATGAGGTTGCTGGCATCGACACCGCATATCTTGAAACGCCTCTACAATTCGGGGAGAAGTGGTCTTGAGCTTCCATGGCTTTTTGATGGGATAACCATTTCTGTCGGTTAAACCTACGGTACACCCTTCAAAACCAACGGTCATAAACTGGGGATGCTTCTCAAAGAATGCTACAACGTCAGGCCTTTTCCAGCCAGAGCAAGGTCTTGGCCACTCAAACGTTACAGTACCACCATGATTGAGAACCCTTTCAGCGCGTTTGGAAAAACTCTTAAACAACCGTTTGGACTCTTTGACCTGGTGGGCAAGCTTCCTAATGAATGCGGCACCACCCCTCTTCCTATTGATGTACTGCCAAGGGGATCCGGATGTGCAAGGGATAGAGGCCCACATATGTGGAGGTGCAACCTTAGCGGCTTCATCTATCTGATAGTCTAGTTGCTCACATTGTGACTCATCTCCCAGGTCTATCCTATCCTTACAAAGTCTAACATGATTAATGCCATATTCTTGGTGAGTAAAACCCATCTGGGAGTCCTCAGAACAAGCAAATTCAAACATGGTTGACTTGGCATTGGGTCTGGAAGCTTTCTTGGCAGCTTTCCGGCTCCTACGATTATCGCGGTTAGTTGGCTTACCTACAGCGGGGCAACCAAAAACAGGCAGCGACTTTTGACATAGGTCGGAACATCGATTGGCAACTTGGGGAAGAATAGCTACACCAGAAACGGAAACAGAAGGCTCAGCTGGAGCGCTGGGTTCGGACGACCCTGGTACCTCACCTCTTATGAGAGTTTCCTCAAAGAGCGCCCTATCCTCAGCGGAGAGGTGCGATGGTATGGGATCGGGATCAGGCAGATCCTCACCGCGGAAGATGATGCCATGTGCTTCATCATCCTTGTCTTCTGCTTCTGTCTCACTTGTGGGAGGTGGAGCTTTCTTTTCTTTTTCGGCTTCTTTTTCTTTTTCAACCAACATTGCGAAGCGGGCTCTGCACTCATCAGTGTGCACGCGCGAATGGCCAGTGCAGCCTTTGCAACCAGGGGTCTCTTTCCACTTAAGGATACGGTCTACGGTTATATAAACAGAACGACTTTTGAGACCTGGTGTAGAGGGTGAGGCTATTCCGCCCTCCTTGGGGAAGGGCACATCCTTTAAGGCATATTCAGGCAACTTAAGATCATCTGGGTTATCCCCCCTGATGAGAGCTTGGTGGCGTGAAAAACCTACTGGAAAAACAGGATCACCTTCAGGGACAAAGATTTCTGCTTCTGGAACATCAACGGCTGAATTCCCACCTCTAGTGCGATACTCTTGGTAATCTAACACCCTTAAGATATTTCTATATCGGAAACCGGGATCAATCCTCCAACCCAAAAATAGACCAGGTGACATGTTGGGCTCCAAAGTCCTTTTGGTGGGTGACTTCCTACGGTAATACACTAACTGACCAAAGCATAACCTCATGCCATCAAACTTATTCCTAGTAAGCGACTCCCATTGGGTTTTGTCGGGGTCAGCTATTGAAGGCTTGTCGAATGACATTGACAGGCAAGCATATGGATAGCTATATGTGTGGTACTCATAGGGAAGGCCAGATTGGAGGTGAATAGTGCGGCAACATTCTTTCTCCTCTCGAACATCTCTCTCGAGGATGGCATTGTGGGGCCATCTGTTCGGCAACGAGGTTTCTGGAACCATGCCTACGGCATGTGCCGCCTGCTCAAGCTCGCCGGCTTCGTCCATTTTGATGAACGTTCGGGTGGTGAGCTCTGATCCACGCAATCCTAAGAAATGCCTAAAGTTGCGAGCATGCGCGTCAGCAGTACGTTTAGACAATGGGTATGCAACACGCGCACCGGAGTACGCATCTCGGATGACATGATGTGACCTTATTCCCCCTATACCTACACCCAAGTGTTCGGACCCTTTAGCTAAGATAACATCATCAGTAGCAAGCTGTTCCAGCGGCTGCTTTGGGGGATCAACAAAATCATCGGCTTTGCCATCTTTGACATGTGAAACCCTCATGGCGGTATCTTTTGCTATGTGGCACAAAGGACAGTAGGGATTTTTGGGAAAATGGGTACGCAAATGTTCAGGGCTAGTGGCTTGCTGCTTTAGAACTTCATCCTTAGGCGGCTCACCATCACCTAGCTCTACCAAAAGCTTATCATCCATTGGGTGTTTCGGCTCCGACGCGCTAGGGGGCCCAGCAGCGTCCTCAACAGGCTCGGGATCTAGAATTTCATCTAATTCTGAAGGACTAGGAAGGTCACTACCACCAAAGCTAGGGGCATAGCCAGGGTCGTTAGGATCTTCTTCATCATCAGCGGGAGCATCAGTTCCCACAGGTGGAGCTGGCACGGCGGTTGACACAGGAGCAAGGTGCTCGCT